ACCAGTCAGTGCCTTCATATGATATTGCAGTATCATCTGCAAAACTAGTTATTTTGCCAACACAATTAATTTGGAAAATATCATTTAAATATATATTGAATATCAGCGGACCTAAGACAGTTCCTTGTGGGACACCACACTTAATATACATTTCTTTACTAAATGATCCTGATATCTGCACAGATTGTGGGCGATTTGACATAATTTTCGATCAGTGAGTACGCGTTTCCTCTGAAACCAATTCTCTCCAATGCTTCGAATAATAATTTGTGATTAACTGTATCGAAAGCTTTCTTTAAATCAACAAAAATGCAGATTGAAGGGATTCTGTTATCAATATTTTGATGCATTTGATTTACAATTTTAGTTATTGCGTCCGATGTAGCCTTCCCTTCTGTAAATCCATATTGATATTCATTTAAAATTTTGAATTTTGTGAGGTATCGAATCATTCTAGTAGATAAAACTTTTTCAAAAACCTTTGCTACACTGGATATCATTGATATTGGTCTATAGTTGTTAACATCTGTTTTTGTTCCTGATTTATGTATCGGTATTATATTACCTTTTTTTAAAATTGAGGGATATATGCCAGATTCAAAGCATTTGTTGATTAGGTAAGTGAGTGGTTCTGTTATGTTCTCGGCTATAATTTTCAAATGCTCGCTTTTAATACCATCGAACCCAGGACTTTTCCGATTTTTCAAGGACATAACAGTGGTGTATACTTCACATTGTTCGACTTTATCCAAAATAAATGTGTTCAAAGTTCTTTTTGGAGGCTGAGTATTTTGTACATTTGCTTGTATATTACTTGCTAAATTTTCGCCTATGTCAGTAAAGAATTGTACAAATTCATCGCATATCTGTCGAGTATTTTTTAATACTGTTCCCGATGTTGTATTTAACTCAGTGACACACTCTTTAAATTTTGTTTTCCCAGTAATCTCATCAATAGTTGTCCAAAGCCGCTTAGGATCATTTAAGTTATTATTCAATTCATTTAGGTAATGTTTTCGTTTGGTTTGCCTTGCAAGCTCTATAAATTTATTTTTATATTGGTTGTAACAGTCGGTATTCTCTGTAGTTGGCGTTAGTTTCATTACATTATATAGTCTTTCTTTTTCTATTGCCGATGTTATTAATCCTTTGGTAATCCAGGCATTTCTGCTTTTCTCTTTGTGACTAATTATTACTTTATTGGTACTAATATCTATTATATATATATAGTTTTTTTATTTTCTCTATGAACAGTCCCGTTGCTTTGTCTATATTATTTATAGAGTATAATTGTTCCCAGGATTCTTGTTTGACATTTGATATTAGTTTTGAATTGTCGACAAAAAATTTGTAATTTTCCTGGTGGTTATTAACGGTAGGGATGTTAGAATGTTTTTCATTTGAAGATAGGTATCAGTAAAATAGTGGAGAAGTGGTCAGTAATATCGCTTTATAGGATTATTGGTATACAAGTAATTTTCTTGGATAGGTCTTTCACAAAGCAGTGATCTATACATGTGCCACTGATGGACCTTGTAGGTAGGTTTATATAGGACAGAAATCCGTTACTTGATAGGATATTCAAGTATTCATTTGTGATGGGATCATTGTCCAAGATATTTATATTGACATCTCCCAAGAAAATATGTTGCTTTAAATGAACTTTATTTTGATTTTGAAAAAAAAATTCGATATTCTTCAAAAACTCGTGGGGTTCTGAACATGGCGGACGATAAATTGCAGATACCTCAATTTTATTATGGTTAATTTGGATCATTACGTTTAAAATTTTGATTCCATCGGTGAAAGTGAATGTATCATGATTATATTGTAGCTCATTTCTTACAAAAACTATCACCCCATCGTTTTGGTTATAAGTGCCAAAGTTATACAGCGTGTCATATCCCTGCTGATTGAAGCAAGAAATATCAACCACTTGCCACGTTTCAGTTAAAACTATTAGAAAAGCAACATGCTAAACGTCGCCATATAAGTCTATATAAAGACTTCTATTATTATTATATCGTCAAGAAATCCTCAGCAAGCCAACCAACATACTTTACTGCCCCCTATGCCAATGCCGCATATACAAATGGACTTTTATTTGAAAGGGCGCGTTTAATTGGTAATAAGGAATACATAATAAAAGTTTGGTCTGCTGTATCGTCACACATTTCATCGAAACAGCATAATAATTTGGAACTGTATTGTTTAGTGGGCTATCAAATGCGGTTTTATTTGACGCAAAACCAACGGGAAATTATTTTCCGATCCGTCTCTGTTTTCCGACATGCCACCGAACTGAATATATTTACATTTTTTGCAGCAGACTTTATTTTTCAGGCAATGCGGAGATAATTAATTTGAGCGTTTTTGATTTATTGCGTGGAATATTTTCAACAGCCCAAAAACTACCCTTTATTTCATTAGCTTGACACAAACAATGGATATGTGCACACCGGGTGACTGCTATTGTTGAATCGGCTCAGGTTTCGTGTCACAAAAGCGTCGACCTACAAAGGCAAATAGCTTTTCAATTTGCCTGTTTTTTATGTGAATGTGAACGTATACGTTCTGGCTGTCAGAAGTGCCTTGATGTAGTCCGAATAACGAAACAGGTAAAGAAACATTTTTTAAGAGACAAAGTGCTGTGGTTAAATAGCAAATTGTTTTCTTCTTTTATTTTAAGCACAAATTTAAGATATTTGATTTAATCTACCTTCAGTTCCATTCACAATCAAACCAATAATAAAACCTACTCACCTAATATAATAATACCTTGACAATTATCTAGAAATTATTCATTTCCCGCATCTCATGTCCTCCAGCCACAGCCGTTCCTCCTTGCATAGTTGCATACGTTTCCTTTTATTTGCTTCTCAACCAGATGAATGTGATTCTCGCATATTTTATTCAACGTTTGTACAAAATTGAGGTTCACTAATATGCAAAGCCTCTAAATCTGTTCATTATGATGGAAACTCGCAGCTTGGATTTTGCGAAGTCTGTACTGTCTACCTCTAAATAGTATAGGAGGATAACTATCTAACGATTAATCATTCACCATTCCTTCCGCACATTCTCACTATGCTATCATCTTACACCGATGGTACCGTCGTAGAGTTTTGGGTAATTTAGCTTAAAATTATTTAGAATTGATTATGTAATAAACTAAACTTTGACTATTTCAATTGCTAAATATCACAAATTATTCCTAATTTCGTTTTTCTCATTTAAAAGAAAAGTGAAATAATATTGAAAATATTTTCAACCATTGCATCATTTGATTTGACAACAAAATCTTGATAAATGCGTTAAATTTAATAAGCGAAATCACATTCACAACCATCGGTAGAGTGAGTACTTCCAATGTTGTCAACTGTACCAAGCAAATATGAACGATTTTTGCATAATGAGTCCTTCCCAAAGCCCCAATCTACTCACCTATACTTGACCAACGATTTTAAATCTTATAAATGTCTAGATGTGGTTACTTCTCACATTACCACATTGACGTAAATGTCAAATAACAAATAAAAACAAACAACATCGGAACATCGTTTAGTATTATTGTTCAAGGTGTGTTTTGCAGCGTTTACGAATTAGGCTGTCAGTATCACTGTATATAAATCGATAATCTCCTCCACGTTGTTACTTGCGCCATCAAGTAGCTCAAATTGCTTCTATGATGTCTTGCGCTAGATGCAGTGGAGGACTACCCCCACCCCCCACCCTCCCTCCGAACCGCACAAAATACTGAGCACGTTCTGGGAGAATTTGCTAATTCTTAGGTGAACTACTACTTCGTCATGACGGGAAAAGCTATAACTTTTTTTATCGGCAGTCTATATGTAGTCTGATCGCACTTGATCTGTATTTTATTTTAGAGAAATACATTGAAATTCAAGTTTAAAGCCTGTTACGTCTCAGTATCGTTGTATAAAATGGTAGTTTCAACGTTATTGCTGTATTATTCTCTTTATCACCAGAAGGTCATTTAACACTTCCAAAGTATCCATATATTTCCGGAACTCCAAATGCAGCTTTGTCGCTATGTCGATATATCGCTATTCGATTTTATGTCTCGCCGATGCTTCGCTATTCTCTGCAACGTGAACCTTCGGTAACATTTTTACATCGTGTACCCGTTAAAAGCTTTCCGCCGTTATCGCTTTTGGCTTAAATCATACGAGTACATTCGTGGACTGGACCATCAGACTTTTTTGTGTTCTCATCCTATCGAACTGATTTCGTGAGTCTACTTTATAGAATAGTGCCGTTTGGTCAGCAGCATTCGTTTGCAGATTGCAAAACGTAAACTTCATGGAACATTGGGACTGTGAGATGAAGCCTTCTTCGGAGTATATCTTTCCAAGATAAATCGACATTGACCTGGAAAGAGGCTATTCTGGAATCATGGTTGAGAGTTGCTTAACGGATACAAAGTATGGATTTTATCACTTTTTCACTTCTGTAATGCACCAAACTTTTTAGATTCTCATCATATCGAAATGATTTTGAAAGTCTGCTTTAAGGAGTAGATCTATTAGGACGACTGCATTTCAATGTAGACTGTATATCGTAAGCTTCGGTCTGCTTAATAGAAATAACACCTTCATGGATCAACTACAACGTAAAATAATCTAAGAACAAAGCGTTCTCCAGAAAGCGTCAACATGATATAACTCGCCATTGAGTCCATTTTATATCGGATATAAAGTCCAAGGCTATATTTCAGTCATTTATTAGTTTTAGACTTCACAGCTAAAGATTGCATAATAACAAGGTTTGGCTTCTAGCCCTTTTTTTCTTGTATCATCCCTGTAGGTAACATACATTGCTGGACTAGAGAATCAGGTTCTTTATTCATGCCATTTGGTTCACTTCGTTCTCCTGTGGATTGTAAAACGTGAACTTCAGTTTTTTAAATGGATTCTGGTCATAAAATCTTTATGGTGCATTGAAATTGCGAGATGATCTAGAGGGAAGCTTCTTTCAGGATGTCATTACCAGGTAAATCGCTATTGATCGGAAAAGAAGCTTTTAAAGTTTTATACCAGATATATAGAGATTGTGTCGCCTTTAAGCATTTAATTTCCAGTTCTTCACTCCAAATCTCCATCAAACATTGTCGCTGCTGGCTATTGTAAAATAATAAGGTGTGGTATAGGATTTGGTTGAATTTACTGCATAATCAAACCACGGTGAATCGAATCGTTTTACTTTACTTTGGCAAAATTGCATACTTGTTGCCACAGGTCTAGGCCAAAAAAATTTATGAATCAGAGAAATACTAGCATGAAAGTCCCGAAAGCTTGAATTTTGTCATGATATAGCATGTCTTTTAAGTTTTGCATATGGAAATAGAACAACACGGTAGGTAGTTTTAAATGACTTTATTGTTTTTCGAAGTATTGTTGTGAAGTTTTTGACTTTATGTTTACTAAAGAGTGAGGTTAAGATTCAGTAGTGACGTTCGATCCGCGCGGCCTGCTATGATTCTATATGCAAAACTTAAAAGACATCCATATGTGAATCTATAGTCAACGCCAAACAAAGTGGCGTGCACGTCATCACGATAAAAATTCCCCGACCTAATGCCTAGGTTTCTATCACAAACAATTGCTCTATTGCAGTTTCATATTAACACGTTAACGGCCACGTGCTTATCTGTGAAATTTACCACCGGGCCAATTTATAATTTTCATTGTTTTGAGATGCTTTTAGGTAGTATTGCTCAAATGTCTGGAGTATTTTGTGAAAATATTCGAAGTTTTGGAAAAAAATGCAAAATAAGGATCGGTCCCCAGGGACCGCCGTGGCCCACCAAGAAAACTATATTGCAAAAGCACGGTCGGTCCCGCCCGGCGGTCCTTCGGTAATGTCCGCCTTTCATCGATGAGCGCTAAAACGAAGCACGTGGTCATTTCGTTGCGTTTCAGTTACTGTAGCGGGTCGGTGCAGCTAGGCGTCAGCGCATTTATTCATGATAATGGATCACGTAAATGTTCGCAATCGGACTAAACAGTTGATATTGTTGTCAAAACTTCAGAAGTGTGATGAAAATGATGGTAAGAAATTACCTACAGGGATATCTTTCGGAAGTGAAACTGGCTTTTTTCACTTTTGTTGTATAACCCTGTACAATAAACAATTTTGTTAAGATGTTAAGTTCTGCTAAATTTCAGAATCCAGCGAAGATGAACCAAGCATTTATGGCTCATCGGACTCAGTTGTAGATCCAAACTATTCCCCTAGTGAAGATTCTGTGTCGAGCGAGTTGGACAACGTTCCCACAACCAGCAACACTGATAAGAAGGTAAGTCTAAAATATTTTCCAAACATCTGTGTTCTAATTGTATTTTTTTTTTTAGAAAACACTTCCTAACGCTCAGAGTCCACCGGAAGTTTCAAATATTGGTTCAAATCTCGTAGAACAATCAAGTAGTTCAGATTCGGAAGAAAATCAGAGTAATGTGGTGCAAGTGGCAGGATGGACTATACCACAAGGCCATCACTTGGTTTTTCCAAAGAATTTTGTTCAAGACCAAGGAATTTGTCCAGAAATAGCAGCTGCCTTGCAAGGAGGTACTCCGTACGATTTCTTTTCGCTTTTTCTGGATAACGAAATTTTAGACCTGATGGTAGAACAGACTAACCTTTATGCAACGCAAGTAATCTGCTCAGCTAACGATGTTCCACACTCATCAAGACTTCATAAATGGTCTCCTACTGACAGACAAGAAATGCAAAGATTTTTAGGCCTAGTCGGATATATGGGTCTTGTACGAATGCCAACAGTTCGCCACTATTGGAGCAGAAAACCCCTGTTTCGCAATGAATTTATATCAAGTGTTATGAGCAGAAATCGTTTCGAATTGCTTCTACAACTATGGCATTTTTCTGATAACCAAATATGCCCTGAAGGTGATCGTCTCTACAAAGTACAGCCCCTTATTGATAAACTTGTCAAAAAATTTCAAACCTCATATACTCCTGGTAGTACAGTCTGTGTAGATGAGTCACTAGTCCCCTTTCGAGGTCGCCTTGTTTTCAAACAATACATCCCTCTTAAAACGCATAAATATGGCATCAAAGTATTCAAGCTCTGTTCTTCAGAAGGCTATACTTATAACATGAAGGTATATTGTGGGAAAGAAAAGGATGCTGGTGCTAGCGTTCCAACGAATATTGTTTTATCTCTTGCTGAAAATCTGCTAGATAGTGGAAGAACTATCGTTACTGATAACTATTACACTAGCTTAGATCTAGCTAATAAATTACTCGATAGACAGACACATCTTATTGGTACCTTGCGATCCAACAGACGCGGTAACCCGAAGGAAGTTACGCAGAAAAAACTTCAGCGTGGCGAAATTGTTGCAAGGGAAAATGAGCGTGGCATATGCGTAATGAAATGGCGGGATAAAAGAGACGTATTACTACTGTCTACTAAACATACAGATGTCATGCAAGATATTCAAATCCGAAATGAAACAAAATCTAAGCCTTTGGCTATTATTGATTATAATAAAGGAAAAAGTTCCATAGATCTTTCCGATCAAATGGCATCTTACAATTCCGCATTACGTAAGACCATCAAGTGGTACAGAAAGCTAGCTATAGAGGTAATTTTTGGTACCTGTATGGTCAATGCGCATTACTTTTATAAAAAAATTACTGATTCGTCGATGTCTATAACAGATTTCCGCGAAAGCGTTGTGATGGACATGATGTCACAAGTCCAAGGTAATAAGAGTGACGATCAACAGATTTCAGCATCTAATTGTTCGACTAATAAGAGGAAACGGAATTCAGAACATTGTTTTAGGAAAAAAGAGGGAGCTGTACACAAAGTTCGAAAATATTGTGTCGGCTGTTATAATAAAAAAACCAAAGGTGAAATAGCCAAAAACAATGTAAAAAAAGTTAGCACTTATTGCAGTGACTGTGTTGATCAACCTCATTTTTGCTTAGAATGTTTTAACATATTTCATAAGCAATAATTATGTTTTTCTATGTTTACTGTCTCTAAAATATTTTATACGCATTTATTGTTCTGAAAAGTGTGAAAAATAAAGTATTACGCTTCACTTTAGTACTTTTATTTATCAAAAAATGATATAATAAAAAATACATGTGAAACTTGATTAAACAAAAATATATAAAAAAATTATTATGTATGCATCATCAACTGGGGCCAAGCGGTCCCATATGAGCCGCTAAATGTATTAAATGAGCGGTCCGGTGGCCTGAACAGCACGAAATAGCAGTCACCGACAGGTGGTCCCGAGGGACCGCCGTGGCCTGATGGTAAGGGAAGCTGGCGGGCCCCTGGGACCGACGTGGCCGTTAACGTGTTAATGTGATATATAAATTGTAAAATGGTCATTACTCTCTTATTATGGTTAATAGTCATATAAACATTGTTATTAAAATATCACATAAGTTGCTTTCTGATAAATTTAGACGCATTATGCGAAATAAAATGTTTTGCAAACGCTCCAATCACTTATCGACATGTAAACGCACTAAACCGATTTCGCAGCGTTGACACATTGTCACCTTGAAACTTATTTAAACTGGGAACTGACATTTGTATTAATTTTGACACTGAATCAATTTGTGGCATTTCAAATCTTTATAAATCCTTTGGCCCCGCATACTGTAAATCAACAACTGTTTGTTTCAAAACAAAATTATTCATTTTACGAGTAGATAAAGGCAATTTTGGTATATAAAGATGCCCAAACAGTTAAATAGTCGGTGTAAGGAACTCGTGGCCTCGTTAATGCACTACTTTGAGCAAGAAAGGGACAACAACGGGCCTTTGTTGCCTTTAAATGCTGTTCAAGAGGTAGGTTACTAATAATTATATGTAATGTATATTAATAATAGTGAAATTTTATTTCATTTTTTGTAGCGTGTTGCTGCTGCTTTAAAAATTAGTTTAAGGACAGTTAGTCGTATTTCCGAGGGTGTGAAAAGTGATGCAAATTTAGAATCGCCCAAGAAAAAGCGGAGTTAAATTAAACGTGTAACCAACACAGCGACATTGGATACAAGTGCCATTCGAGAAGTGATCTATAATATGTATCACAAAAGTAAGATCTTATTATAATAACTTATCAGAAATTTGCATTAATTTGTTAACTAAATTATAATGTCATATTACACATGGTTTCAGAAGAACAAGTTACGATACAAACTTTATGGTCTCGATTAAGAGATAGGGCATTATTTGATGGTAGTGCCACGTCTTTAAGGCGGTTGCTTAGAGATCTTGGATTTAAGTGGCTTAAGGACAATCCGCGACGAGGGCTCATGGAACTACCAAGTATAGCTTTGAAAAGGGTGGAATTTCTAAGGCAATACAATCAAGCCAAGGTTGAGGCCTTATACCAGTTTGTCTTCCTCGATGAAACTTGGATATTTCAAAATGGGACCATAGGTCGCTCTTGGCAAAATGGAAACCAAAAAAGCGTGAAAGCTATTAAAACAGATGGTAAAAGGTATGTACTTTTACACAATTTGCACTATAAAATTTAAAACTAATATATTTTAGATACATTATATTACATGCTGGAAATGAAAATGGGTTTATTGAGGGTAGTGAAGCGATATTTTCTTCGAAAACAAAATTGAGCGATTACCATGGAGAGATGAACCAGGACAATTTTATGAAATATGTTATTAGAAAAATTGGAGAGTCCATCTATGATTATACTGGATAACGCCCCTTATCACAGCATGATATTGAACAAAGTGCCCAACAATGCATGGACAAAAAAAAATATCCAAGACTGGTTGACAAATCAAAACATACAATTTTTAAACACAATGTTTAAAACAGAGCTATTGAGTATTGTTGCTCGGTACATAATGCTTCTTAATTATATATATTTTGGTCGACAGTTTATATTTCTTTTGTTTATTCCTATTCTTAAAATAACTGCTTTTTTAGAAACAAACCACCTAAAATATACGTGATTGATGAATTGGCGGAACAACATGGGCACAAAGTTCTTCGTCTGCCTCCTTATCATTGTATATTTAACCCTATTGAGTTAATTTGGGGCATAGCAAAAGGTTACTATAACAGACATACTGGTAGAGATGGTAACAGTGAAAAAGACTGTTTGGATATGTGGAACGAGGCTCTACAAACGGTTACCCCAGACATGTGGAAAAATAGTGTTCGACATACTGAGCAAGAAATTTTTAAATGGTATGAAAGAGAACGAATTTTTGATCGACCAGACATCGAACCTTTAATAATCAACTTTGAGAGTGATGAAGATTCAGATTCAGACAGCGCTGAAGAAAGAAACTCCGACTAACTTTATTGTACAGAAAAAGCTTACACCAGTAGCTTACCTAATTTTAGAATGCATTTTTCTGTATGAATTCTGTAAAATAAATACCATGCATAAAATTTGGAGGACCCCATTTGGATTTTTATTCAGTACCTTTAAGCTATCAATTAAATATGGTAGTTTCATAGTGTCATCTGATCAATAATTGTCATACTTAATGATTATGCAAGTACAGATCTATAATTTTACTATACTATTATTTTTGTTCTCATTTGAGGTTAATATTGCTTATAAACCTAGATATGTAAATAATAAATTTTATTATTTTACAAAAAGTTTGGCAACAATGTAAATTTTTCAACACACCCACCTTGATGACGTGCACGCCACTTTGTTTGGCGTTGACTATATGAGTTATAATGACTCTCAGAGCCTGCTGACCTAGATCAAGAATCTATTGTAGGTTGACAAGATGAAGATACATCAATCGAATTTATATTCAAATATAACGTTTCCGAGTTTTTTCGATGTTTTGTGAGGTATAATCACCTACCATGAAAAACACCACCTTTGATCTTTATTAATAAGCCTTACAAACATACTCACGTGCTCTACTATCCCGAGTCTGTCCATTTCTTGTCAAGCAGTCCAAAATACGTTCCTCCAACCCTTATGGAAAAAAAGTAATTTGCTGATAGTAGGAGAATCTCAAAAAATGTCATACATAAACTTGAAGGTTTGCTTTCATTGCTACTAAATTATGAGACTTCAAGATTCAGACGTGTTTATATCATATGTCTGTTTGTTAGGGGTTTTGCAATTGATTTGTGTAATAAATAATAATAATAATACGTTCCCCCAACCCTTATGGAAAAAATTAATTTGCTGATAGTAGGAGAATCTCAAAAAATATCATACATAAACTTGAAGGTTTGCTTTCATTGCTACTAAATTATGAGACTTCAAGATTCAGATGTGTATATATCATATGTCTGTTTGTTAGGGGTTTTGCAATTGATTTGTGTTGTATCTCGGAAAGAAAGTATTCTCGACTTATCTTCTTCTCATCAGAATTCCGCACCTATAAGCTCAGAGAATTTTCAGACAGCTATTTATCTATCGAATATAACTGATAACGATGGCAATATGTTCTGTCCCGAAATCACACCTTTCTAAACGAAGCTTATGTGACGTGATCAGAATTTGGTTCCGCGTCTACTATAATATTCCAGGAAATAGGCATTTTCCATTTTTCTATGATGAATTTGAACTGGCTTAAACTAAAGGTTAATATGTAAGAAAGCAATGGATGCTATTTTGTAACAAGTGAAATTCTCTACTATATTACTATCTTAATTTCACCGCACGGTTAACAGCTTGTGAGATATTCAACTTCAGCTCAAGCTAGGTTATAATGGCGAAAATAACGACGCAAACGTACAATGACTACTGTAATTTTTCAATTTTAATTTTAAAACTACCTCCACCAACCTGCCAAATGCAGTGCAAAACGTATTTTTTCTGAAAAATCGTACATTTGGATGTTTAATTCACCCGCGATTGATGGAAATGTCTTTGCATGTTTCCTTGACGTTGAATTCATCGTGAACAGTTGACAATATTGTAAAATGTTGCAGAAATAGAAAGGTAGAGTTTGGACCTCTATAAAATTTTTCCTATCACTACTTCACGGCGCTACAGCTAAACTAATTTGGAAGCAATATTCTAAAAAAGCAGTAGAAAAATTCCCGCAGCACTTCTTGTAGGTCTTTGTACTCCAAAGATGCTCCCCTAGAGACATACAAGGCTATGAAGTTTTGTTTACAAAATTGAAAAAACTCTACGGAGCAGGTAAATATACTGAGGTAAGATTTTAGACGTGTACGTGCCCCTTTCCGTTGGTCCAACTATTGAAATCTTAGTTTTTTTCTTATCAAACACAAATAATAAAAATGTAGCAGGGTGTTATAGGTTTAAAATATTAACAATGAATATTTTGATAATATATAGTACAAAACACCAACTTTATCACTCCCTAATCAAATTTGCAGCATAAAAATAACACTTGTTGCTATTACAGCATATCAACCTATTTTCATTTCAATGCAAAATAAGTCTATAACGCATAGGTGGCTGTGAAAAATAAAAGCCATCACAATTGTTTTTATTAATCATAGTTGTCAGTGTACGTTTGAAATAGTTTTGGGTAGTTAAGGTTTTCAAAATGGGTAGAGGAAAGGTTATTAGTGAGAAAATTCGGTTACTGATAATTAAATTTTTTAATTCTGGGAAATCAAACTCAGAAATTGCAACTTTGTTGGACTTATCGCGGTACAGTGTGAGAAATATTGTTAGAAGATATAACGTAACTGGTTCAGTTAATATTAAGTCACGATATGCGAAAAAAAGTAATATCACAAATGCCGACCGAAGAGCATTAAGAAGAATAATCGTGAAAAACAGGCGTGCCAATTATTTACAATTAAGTGCCCTGTGGAGTGACGCTGTTGGAAGGAGAATTTCGAGGACCACAACTCATAGAGAGGCCCACAAACTGGGATTTAGCACTTGCAAGGTAAGTTTTCTTATAAAAAAAGTGAAGAAAAAACCCTAAAGTTGCACAACTTGCTTATAGGCCAAAGAAAAGCCACTATTAACTCCACTGCAAAAGAAAAATCGGCTTAGATGGGCTAAAGAACATAGACAATAGACACCTCAGCAATGGTGTGCAATACAATGGAGTGATGAGGCCCGATTCGAAGTTTGTGTTGGTGACAGTCGCAGTAGAGTTCTTCGCAAAAAAAAATGAAGCATTCCATGTTGATTGTCTGAAGAGAAAAGTGAAATTTCCAGCATCCATTATGGTCTGGGGCAGTATGTCATCAAAAGGAGTAGGAAAACTTCATTTTATTGATGGAAATGTGGATACAAACAAATATGTGGCAATTTTAGAAGAATCGCTTTTACCAGTGTTGGAAGAATGTTTGTCATCCGGCCAAGATTTTGTGTTTCAGCAAGAGGGTGCAGCGTGCCATACCTCAAAAAAGACTATTAAATAGATGGAAGAAAATAATGTATCGCTTTTGAAATGGGTTTCTAGCAGTCCAGATCTGTCACCCATTCAAACTTTGTGGCACCAGATGAAAAATGTTCTACGACAACATCCTGCTCGTACAATCACCGAACTGAGTCAAAAGCTTCAAGAAATATGAGATTGTTTTACACCAAATTTTTGCCAAAACTTGGTTAACACTATGCCCCAAAGAATTTCAGCCGTAATCAAAAATAAAGGTAATGTTACCCAATGGTAATGTGGGCCAACTGAAGTGGGAAGGGGTTCGTAGTCAGCACATCATAAGTAATTAACACACAGAGTTTCGCGACCCAAACTAAACCAGCGACGTAGAAACTGGGGCAGCTGGTCCCCTAGTAGTAAATTTCTCCTGCACCACTGGCCTCTTCGGAGAGATAATTTTATAAAATACCATTTAATTTTCCATAAATTTTGCCTCCCAAGGACTTAGCTCTATTTATTTATTTATAAAATAATCGTTTACTTTGTTTTGAAGCTTCTTCATCAGTAAACAAAAATGAATATGCCGGCAAAACCAGTGGCGTGCACAGGAAAGGTTTACTAAATGGTAACCTTTTACGCTACTGATTGAGGATAAGATACGCATATTATTTAATTGATGTTGTAGTGAGGTCACCTAGCTTCCTTCATATGCCGTATAGTGCCTCAAATATCAAGTTTCACGCTTTTTTTTCAGAATAGGAGAGTCTAAACCATTCCATATGAATATGTTAGGATTTTACCTAAAATATTTGCACCTTAATATTTCCAAAACAAGTGATCTGACAGGAGACAAAATTTCTAGATTCCAGCTCAGTATCTTTATTCTCTCAGTATACATATTTTTGCTTTTAATTTCGTAAATAATACTCCGTCACCCTGTATCTCGGAAGGCGAGCATCTTTGGAGCCACATTTATATTACATTTTTTCCTATTTTTGGGTGTACTTTCTATATTAGAAACACTCTGTATAGGACTGACAGCTTACAAAGGCGTTTAAAAAAATACTACTTCCCTATTCGTCATTGTCCGTCAGAGCGGTCCGTGGGACCTTCGCTCTTGAAATTACTACTTATGGTGAGCTCTATAGTTAACGACAATTTGAATCTATCATTATATAGCAGTATTCTAGCGACATGACAAAAAATGTACCCCACTTATTGCATTTGTATTCCGAATCGTCCTATTCCCCGGCCTATAAGCTCTCCATCACCAGCCCTTCCTCCTCATGTATCGCGTTGAATATTTCAAAAGTTGGCAACACTGGCACGTACTCGCTTCTGTAGCGCGGACGGCAACTTCGAGGTCACCCTAGCCACCAAGGCTACCATCTACCACCAAGGACTCGTCGAATGGAAGCCGCCTGCGATCTACAAGTCATCCTGCGAAATTGACGTCGAGTACTTTCCCTTCGACGAGCAGACGTGCGTGCTCAAGTTCGGTAGCTGGACGTACGACGGATTCAAGGTACGTCTTTGTAGCATCTATGTGAGCATGTGCATGCGTGAGAATCGGAATAGCGAGGTGTATGGGCCACTTCAGTACCCAAGGGTGAACGTGGTTATGTTAGAGTGCGTGGACCACTTTAGGAGGCAAGAACGACATATGGGGCCAACACGCTTTTTCCACGTATACAGGGTGTTTCAGAAATACGTGTCAACATTTGTAGGGTAGAAAGCCTCTTAAAAAATAACAGAAAAGCTTCCTATAAGTATAAAAAGTTTGATATTTTTTTCCTGTGCAGGGTGTTCCTTAATGATATGCTAATATTATACACATGAAAAATTAATGATAGTTTGCTTCATAAACTATGGTTCAAAAATGTTGCCTTACAAAAACTCGGGGTGTTGAAGTTTTAGGAAAAAATGGAAATTAATTAATATTTTCAGAACCGCTTCAGTACGTAGTGAAAGTTGATAAAGTTGCATATTTTAACTAAATGGTATATTATAAAATGCACTTCTTTTCTCCCAAAAGGCCAGTGGCTCCTTTTTAATTTCGTAAACAAAGCTTCATCTTGTACTAGACCTTTTTATGTCATTTTTGAATGTACTTTCTATCCTGGAAATACTCTTCTTCCTGAAGCACCCTGTATAGCGAAAGGCGTCTACAATTCAGGAATATCCATATTTTTGATACAGTCTTTCCATGGTTGATGGTACCGTATGACTTGGAATATGGTCGATGTATCTGTGCTTTAGTCCCCGAACTTCACTTGATCTCGAGAAATAAGAGCATTTGATTTAAAGAACTTACCGACACACATAATTAATGCCTTACGAGTATCTTGCAATGAAGTTGTGTAACTTTAAAATGCAAGGAAGCATTTTTTAGTTTGTGCTTATGCAGTGGTCCCTAGCCCGTAGCACATTTGTCAGCACTGTTCCAGCTCATACCATAAACAATACCCGTCCGCAAAGTTGGGGTTTTCCTTTACACGACGTGTAGATCTTGAAAACATAAGCAATTTTTCTTAGTACCATATACACGAATGTCTTAAGGGAACCGAGATAAAGGGCTCTGCAACATCAAAAATATCTGAATACCGTCCTGTAGCCGCGACATCACCGACTGGTACAAGGTAACTGGCTCAACCCGACGACAGAACTGGGTCGAGGTCAGTGTGTCAGGTCAGTATGCAACCTTCAACCGACGGTTACGGTCACGCGTGTAGAGGTAATCGCGTAGACGAGAATCCCTCAACAAGCACTAGAGACGTGGCTAGAGAAGTGCAAGTATCAAAAACTAAAGTGTGGCAAACGCTGCGTGAAGAGGGGCTGTATCCGTTTCACGTCCAACGTGTACAAGCCCTTCAACCTGACGATTTTCCAGCAAGAGTGCGGTATTGTGAGTGGTTGTTGCATCAACATGACAATAATCCGGACTTTTTGAAGTGCATATTGGTGACAGACGAATCTACGTTCACGCGTAATGGGGTGAATAACTTTCGCAACACTCTTGTTTGGTCAGTAGAAAATCCGCACGCTGCCCGTCGGGCAAATTTTCAACAAACATTTTCGGTGAACGTTTGGGCCGGCATGTTGAACGGTATGCTCATTGGACCATTTATTCTCCCAAATCGATTGGACGGGATGCAATACCTAGACTTTTTACGCAACATTTTGCCTTCCTTGTTAGAAGATGTGCAATTAATAGAGGAGCATTAATAAGACTATAATATAACTGCATCTTTCTTTCTTACCTATTTGTTAGTAAAGGCAATAACAAAACTTTGTGTGGCGATTCTTTCATTACATGAATTTTTTGCGTGAGCCTTGATCAGTTTAGCGTTTAGCTATGCCATTCCTCAAGATCAAATGGAAGTCGTGATCAAGACAAGCTTATGTACCAGGACCCATACCGTATAAGTGGTTTTACAAGACAACTTCCACATTGAAGCAATAAGGTTCTATTGGTTCTGCCTCCCTTCCAAAGTGGTCTGCCCTTTACCAATATCAGAGATAGCTGCCATGCACAAAGGGTCTGAATGTTAGTTAATACTTATTTAGGTATGTGTTAGTATAACTACTCACCCATACGTATGTGAAACAGAAAGGCGCATTACCGTTATAGCGAGATAAGGGACGACTGCAATTTTAAAGCTTTTTGTCAGTCCTAAGCATATTGAAGATACGAATATTTTTTTATAATTTTAATATGGCCTTTGAAGGTGGACAAAACGAACCCAAAGCGTATCAACAAGCAGAATGGAAATATATCCAAGCCTTGCAAGCTCATTTGGGTGGCTTGAAACACCTGACTGGTTAATGTGTATACTATTTACAATTTTGGATAGCGGATATTTATGTTGAAAGGAAATGAGAACTTTGTAACAGACATGAGACTACTATTATGCTAGTGTGGAGTTTATTGACATATTTGAAGACGCACAACCTGCAAACGCTAATAAGAACGTTGATGATATATTTTCTAGAATACAAGCATGAATTGTCTAGAATACTATACCGGATAGCGACAAGTATTACCAAAAGTGTAATAGAAGTATATAGAATAGAGAATATACAGTTCCTGCATTTCCAAACACTAGTTTGTCGCGTGTGGTTCAAGTGACTACGGGTTTCTTGAGATTGGCTTCTCCAATTGTTATACGTTATAGGTACCTTAAATTTTCGTAATGGTATGGTGATATGCCTCATGTTTTCTATATGGCGATCCAGCCCTGTCCATTATGTACTCGGTTATTTTCTAGTCTTCTAAGAAGAGACGAATTAACGAACCTGTTTACATATTTAAGACTCGCCCGCTATGCCAGCGCCATGCTGCGGAAGAATAAATTACAAGCAAATTTAGTGCAGTTCCGTGTTCTGCACCACAAAGAAAAAGTTCATTTAGAATGGAAATTAGCATGATGAAATACGAAAGTCCCTTGTCTGTATCTTGGTTTGTCAATAGGGTAAACCAAGCAAACGTGAGCTTAGCTCTAAGCGTGTAAGCAAGATAAATTAGCGGTACTTTTTCCAAGAACAGGGGTGAGGTGATGAGAAACCACGCAATCGTTAAAAAGTAAAGATATTCGTTCACAAACATATCTGGGGTTCTGCAATGCAATAGACATTACAGGGTCTAGTCTAAGAGCTACAGAAACCATGAAATTAATTAGAGTGCATAGGTTGTATCAGCTGCGCCACTCGTGGATTACATTTCAAATGATAACGAAGATAAAACATTATTTTTAATAAATCTTAGTTGCTTATAGTCGAGTGGCATAATCGATAACCTCGTGTTTGTAGTCTGAAAAGAATCAAATAGTTTCATAGATCTAGCGACCAGCAGTCTTTAAAATTTTGCGAAAATAGTCCAGAGCTACTCTTATACACCATCAAATATTCATTTCTAGCTGTATTCAGTAGTTTTTTTCCAACCTAAACACTTGAACATGTTGGTCAATAGCTCAACGAAGAAGTAGACACAATAAGGCTCGATCTCACTAGCATTTGGAATTAAGACCAATGAAAAAAGATCTTATTGAAATGCAATATGATGGAAGCTGTCAAAGCTCTCTGAACATCAGTTATTTCTATTGAAATATTGAATAAAATCGTGTAAAAGCGACTGTATTACAAACAAGAGCACTTTTTGATTCCAGCATGATGCTTTTGTCCAGAGAAAACAGGTCATCTTTCATCTATTTTGCTTTTTCTTATAAATTTCCAAATAACAGGTTGTTATCCCTTAGCCAATGGGAATGCGATAAATAATAGCTGTTGAATTTGATAGCACGCTTGAACGTTTGTTAATGTATGGCAATCTCGAATAGTTCTACATACTGCTTATATGTTATCATTATAGCTACATACCCGTTGAATAGTGCGGATTTGTCTGTGTTTTGCAAGATAATAGAATATAAAATACATTCCAACCAATTCCTCATCTTCCTTTACATCATAATGGTAATCACTTATTAATTTATGGGGCTTTTTGCATTTATTTTGCAGGTAGGTTGCAGTTTGTATCAATTGACGTTATTTTGCACAAGACTATTACGACAGAAATAAATATTTTTGGTCTAGTAACACTCAAGTGCTGCAATATACTGAGATATCGAAAAAGTTGCAAACGAGCACCGCCTAAGCCTCTTTGAGGCGCGTTAGGACGTAAATCGCTTTCGAAAGTTGGTAATCCGAAGAGTTGGGGAAAGTTAAAGATAAATGCGATAAGTGATTAAACTGGGATACACAGTGAAGTGCTTTCAAGTATTCCCGTTTTAAATTCCTTGTCTCTATTTCACAGAAACAAACAAAAATAATCATCTATTTGTATCGAGATATCGAATAAAATGTGCATCAAACCTGTCGCTTTGTCTAGATGGCTACCGGATACCGTACCCAGCTGCAAATACCTACAAATTTGGTCGTGTAAAAAATACACAAATATACAGGGTGATGTATTTAAAATTTCTGAGAAAAAGTACAATTTGCGTTTTTGACGACTCTGTATGAGCAAAAATGGAAATTCGAAAAAGTAACAAATAAGATAAGAGCTGAGGTGTGCAAGTTTTTTCTGGTACAAAATTCAGCACTCCAAATTTCAAAATGGCGGACTGAGGGGTTGCCAAAGTGGAAGGTTTTTCTGGACAAAACACCTTGCATCTCAGCAGCTAATTACCAAAACCCCATAGTATGTTATATCAATTTTCTTGTTTTGAACTGGTGTATCCAAATATGTAATAACTTGAGGCATTCCAGTGAAAAAATCACAACTTTAATATGTAGGTCAAAATTGGGACACCCTGTATAATTGCCAATATTTTAGAAATATGCCCTCAAATTTCATGTATAACATCCCATAAATATATTTTCTCAAAATGTATTTGTTTATGAGTAATATCCCGTTCACACATGGATGAGCCACCCTGTACATAAGCCATAAAAGAGGGCTAGCCTCGGAATGAGATATAATAAACCGTAAAACTGTAAAAACCTCTATTTTGGCACTCTAAAAGTTGTCACAAAAGTCTCAAACAGTTTAGTGTCCGCGTCTTAAGATATCAAAAGTCAAAGTTCGGAAAAATCGGTTATTGCAAAGTTAGCGTTTCCTATGGGATCAACGTTTGCATTTATCAGAGATATGTAGAGAATAAAATTCTCTACAACTTTTGTGTCAACATCTTTTCATACAGTCAACCCTGATTACATCATTTATAGCAAAATGCAAGATCAACCGTTAGTGGTGTTAAATAGTACGCTGTATCAAGTCTATAAATAACTAAGAAATATATTTACTAAGTGACATATAAATCTGAACACCCAGTTTAAATGGTTTTATTTTAATAAAATTTTGTATAAGTACTTAATGAAGCATAATAAGTAAACGATAAAAATTTTAAAATGATTGCACTGCTTTAAAGCCCTTTGACCTTTAATAATGTGTGGATGCACCCTGATGTGCTACGCATTCTCCAACGCGCCTAGGCATGCTTCTGATCAGGTGGTCAATGTCCTCCTGTGGTATCTCATTCCAGGCAACCACCAACTCCTCTCGAAGTGCTTCTGGCGTCTGAGGAGGACGTTGCAAATTGAGCAATCTCCTACCCATCATATCCCACACGTGCTCAATAGGGGATAAGTCGGGAGATCTTGGTGGCCATCGTAAAAATGTGACATCAATATGTTGAAAGAAGTCTATTGTGACTCTTGCAACATGTGGTCGGGCATTATCTTGTTGGAAAGTTGGATCTGCCAGGGTGTCAAGATAGGGTAAAAGATGGGGTTCTAGAACTTCGTGGATATAACGCTGCGCGTTCATGTTACCTCTGATGAGGATTAAAGGTGACCTGGAACCATAAGCTATAGCACCCCAAACCATAACTCCAACAGTGTGATGAACATGTCTTTCAACAAAAAACTGTGGATTCCTCCTTTCACCACGTCGCCTTCTAACCCTGGCACGACCATCGTGCATGCCTAAACAAAATCGAGACTCGTCACTAAAGACAATACTGTTCCATTCCTGATCCCAGAGTGACCGTTGTCTGCACCACTCAAGGCGATTACGTCGGTGTTCTAGAGTTAAAGGGAGGACCCAGTGTGGCCGGTATGAAAACAAGCCAAAACTTCTCATTCGTCGGTAAACACTTCGCATGCCAATAGGTCTTCCGTGTTCTGCAAACCATTCATTTGCAATGGACCTGGTAGTTTAGAAATGGTCCCTTAAGGCCAATAATCTTAGGCGGCGATCTTCACGGTCTGTTGTTCTACGGCGGCGTCCAGTGCCCCTTGCTCTTTGCGTACGGCCTTCTCGAAGCCATGCCTGACAACACCTAACCACAGTGTCTACACTTCTATGCACTCTAACTGCAATTGCCCGAAAAGAAAGTCCAGCTTCCCGAAGTCCCACTATACGGCCCCTATTAAACTCACTAAGTTGACGAAATCGTACAGGTCTCCGTACTCTAGGCATCGCAACCCATCGTAAAGGATGTCAAGAACCAAAATCCACCAACGTTGATTCTTTACTGCGGCTGAAATATTCATTTTTAGAGCGTTAGTGAATTAAAAAAAAGCAGTATAAAAACCGGAATGTCCAACTGATAAGGCTGAAAAATTTTTCACTTGTTATTTACAGCAATATAAATACATTCACCAACTTTTATTAAAATAAAACCATTTATACTGGGTGTTCGGATTTATATGTCACTTAGTATAACTAAGAAATATATAGTTGTGTATGATTAGCATTCTTTATCAACTATCATAGGACTATAGGCTGATCCTACGCCTATGAGGGTTGAAAAAAAAACACACAAAGCTCCGACAAAGAATTGTGACACCCACAAGGATATTCCGAGAGTTTCAAATTCCACCCTCACCATTGGGATCTCGCAAATAGTAAAATATACCACGTTGCTCAAATGGTGGAAATGTTGCGTATTTAGCATTTAACAAAATACCGCTTAGAAAGATCAAAGTACCTGTGGAGAGAGACGCAAAAAACCGAGTTTTCCCAAAATCGTTTTAATTTTCCCCTGACCTAGTAGTGGAAGTGCAAAATAAATTGCACATTAACGATAACATTCATCCATGTTTCAGAAAAGAGCTCTTTCTATGAAAACGATCTTTTTTGTAGCCATAAATTCAGTTTTTCTCCAATGAACTATTCAGATTTACGCTCAATATCTTATACCTGAAAATCCAATGCATTTGGAACTGACGGAATATCACTTGAAATGCTTAAATTATGTTTTCCCCTAATTTCAATACATACATTACATATAAATAAATGCTTAGAAAG